AGGGGATTGTGAACTTAAAAGAAGTAAATGAAATGTGGGAAAAGAGGGAAGAAGCAGGGCTTCTGCTTCAAGGAAGGAAAACACAGCTGTAAATATCTGCCCACGGCATTACCACAGAACTCAGATCCTGACATAAAAATACCTCCACCAATAAACGCGCAGCCTTAGAAATAAAGCAACAACTAATTCTCTATCCATCATGTCAAGCTCTCAACATCTTGCTTGTTAACTTGCTGTTAACTTGCCAGTGGATGCTTTACCGCATGCACGCCAGGTAAAGCTCCCAGAGCGGAATTTTGCATCTCCACCAAAATTTAAGAGTATCGGCGATCGATACGTTTTATGTTAGGTAGTAAAACAAGAAACTGTTTGGCAATGTTAACCCAGCTGCTCTCATAACAGAAGCTACCAGCCAATGATAGGGAACCGTCAGATTAAAGTGTAGGACATACAGAAGCACACAGGGGACATTTTTATCACAGCTCCACATGCTCTGGGCTGGCTGCAGTTACACATTTTGGCTCTGCCGGGCTTTCACCATATTTCCTCCGTAACACGAGGCTGATATTTAGGTATCTAGCTATAGTTACATCCTTGTGTACATCTTTCTGAGTGGAGATGATGAAAAGTGACAAATGATGCAATTAACTCTCCATCCTTACATAACATGTTTACGCAGGCATTTTAAACCACACACCATCCTCACAATATCTCAACTTTCAAGTCTACTTGCTCTACGAAATGGATTTGACAGTCCTATTCATGACCATCTCAACAGGAGTGCACAGAAGAGACAAACGTTAGGAAGTATGAATCTGTTACTTACAAACGTACTGAGAGTGTGAATTCCACATAAAGCTGCTTTCCTCATACCTCCTTAAAACACTGCATCTCTACATACTTGTTATCCATCAATTCTGACACTTCTCAGTCAAGGGAGAAAACATCTGGAACAGTTTATCAATTAAAAAAAAATGTCACAACCGGTTTGCCCTAAGCTCATTTAAAATATTGTGATGGTTTGTCGTCAGATACTCAGGGCTCTCAGCTCGCCCCTCACTCAGGGCTCTCTCTCACTCCCCTTTCCAGGCAGTGCAGGAGAACCTGGCCCTCGGTGTCCCTCACTGTTAGGTGAAGTTGGTGTGAGCCCCGGTTGCCTGCGTGGGGAAAGCGGGGCGGGGGGCGGGCGGGGGCCACCACATGACTGCGGGGAGGCGGAGAAACGGGGGAGAGGAGGGGAGCGGGGCCAGACCCGGCCGGGCTCCGCGCATCCCGCGATGTGTTTCGAAAACTGGACCGCCTGTCTGTGCAGCCCTGTGGCAGCCTGAGCTCCCACGGCAGCCACACCCCTCCTCCGGCAGCCACTCGAGGGGTGACCGAGGTCGCCTGCTTTTTGGCAGAGGCCTGAGCCGTGTTTGACCAGATAAGCCGGGGTCTCGGCGGAACTATCAATGTGTCAACATCAGCTCGTGCAGGGCCAATTTTTTTTTTTTAAATTATTATTATTTTATTTCCGACCCACCTGTCTACGGTAAGAGCATCCCTTTCTAGGCTACCCTTGGGACTCATGAGCTGGATGAACCGGTGCCTTTCCAAAGAGAAGGCAAAATTGCTCAAGTAGCGAAACAGAAACATCCTGAGCTGAAGCTGAAACTCAGACGTCAGGGCAGGTCCATAGGACAATGTTTTTATAAGATCAATAGGATAGATCCTATCTTAAGGGAAGTGAAGTTTAGAGGGACCACGGTGCTCTCTTGGGTACCAGATCAACACGGACAGACGGGCAGCTTGATCCGGAGCGCAAATTTTTTAGCGGCCGCTGTGTTTCTGCGAGCCCGTCTGCAGCCCCCGGCCCCAAAGCCCGTGCTGGAGGGCTGCTCTACAGAGGTGACATGATGCAAAGACGAGTCACAAGCATTTTTTCTCCCCGCTCGCCCTCCGTCCGACCCTGCCCCCGACCCGGCGCTCTCGGGGAAGAAGCCAACTGGCCGAGTCAGCGGCGGGAGGCGGCAGAAGCCCCGCACGTCGGGGCTGTGCCCTGGGAGGGGGCAGAGGTGCCTCCCTGCCGCCCTTCCCGCCGTGCGGGGCAACCCAAAGCTATGCCTGCACACCCTTCGGGGATGCGGGGCCGAGCCGGGCAGCCCCAACCCTCCGGCCCCTGCCTGTACCCCGGCGCACACCGGGTGGCTGCCGGGGCCTACGGATTGGCAACTGAGCCGCACACGCCTTTGCGGTGATCCCCGAGGATGGGGACAGCCCCAGCTGATGAACGGCTTTACAGAACCACCACACTTTGCCTTGTTTTTTGATAGGAATCTACCTATAGAGCAAGGCGCTTATCCGTATTTCTGCCTTTGCCGGAGAAAGGGCTCCCTGTGAAGGTGAGATGCAAATCCCCAGAAAATCAAGGGCCGCTCGTGTTGTGCTCTTTGACTGGGGGGCAAATCCTACTCACCCTTAGAGTCGTGCTCGGCGCAAGGAGCAGCTCCTGCCCCGGGAAGGATCGGGGAGAGCAAAATCTGACCTTCACCCACCCCCGAGCTCTCCCACTACTGCCTCTGCGGGACCTGCCCTTCCCCGACGAGCCAGCTAGAAACTTTCCAGCCGCTGCCCGAGGGCTGGGACGGGACGGGACGCCCTGAGCTTTGCAGACAGCAGGTTCCGGGGGTGACCTTTAGGCTTCTACTCCCGGAGGAGAAGAGGGGAACAGTTTCATCTGAAAATTCTAATATGTACTGTGAGGAAGGGAAAAAGGCAAGGAATAGAAACGAAGAGGACCGAGAAGTCTCCCTGTGCTATTCTTTAGCCCTCAAACTCGCGCCGGGCAGGGAGGGGTGAGGGAGGCAGCGAGTGACACTGGGGCAGACACAGGACCTGAGCCCGAGTCCCTGCCTGCCCCGGCAGAAGGCACTGCTGTTTAGGAAGAGGTGGCTCAAGAAAGCTTTCCAGTAATGCCAGCATCTCCTCGGAGAGACGAGGAGAGGGTACCGAGTGGCTCGGGAGCACGCTTTGCCTTTGTTTCTACTCCCTCACCCCATTCCTACTTACGGGGACTTCTTTATTTCAGGGTTCCCGGATAATGGGAACTCAGCTACCAGACGAGTAAGGGCTTGTGCCTAGGTTTGCCTCTCACTTTTTGTGACCTAGAGCTACCCTAGGACAAGCAAATCATATGCTTATTTTAAATAGAATATTTCATTCAGCACCTCAAGATTAAGGTATTCCTGTCAGATAAGCTGTCAGTCACTAACTACTTAGACACCACATTGTGGAAGCCTGGTATCCCTGGTAAAGATGATACATATCATGTAAACCCCATCAACAAGATCAAAGTCTTCTTCTTTAATAGGATCCAATACATGTCAAACCTCATTCCAATCAAATCGTCCGTAAATGAATTCAAGATGAATATGTCATAGAATAATGTGACAGTGCAATCACATGGGGTCAGGGGTTGTTGTTTCAATGAGAGAGTCGTCAAATATTAATTCTAGAACCTCCAAATGAATAGGCATTGAGCAGGATTAGGCAGCTGCTGGTGGGGAGTTGTGTCGCTGATTTGTGTTTATGCAAGTACGTTAAACACTAAGCTGAAAAAAATATTGTCTCCTTTGAACTGAAAAAAAAAAGACGTATTTTAACTTACTGGACTTTTCCAAGATGTTTCTGTAAAGTCGTTTTCTTTTCCTCATTACAAGGGGAGTCTTGTGCCTCATTTCCTGACTTTGTTCCTGTTTGGGAAGAGGGGTGGAAAGTTAAGAGCAAAACCATTTGTGTGTGATATGAAATGAGTAAGGCGCTATATGACTGGGGCATCACGGATTCAAAAAGAAAAGGAAAAAAACCAAAACAAACCACAAGAGTTAACCAGCGAGGGGAGGGGGGGAAGACAAGCTTTCTCCGAGGGGAAACTGGAGGCTGTCTCCCCAGCAAAGCAGCACATGTTTTATGGAGTCATGAAGTTTCCATGGCTGATTTAGGGAAAAAAAAAATATGAAAGGACATCTTTTCAGTTCTCCTTTGATCTGACATTCACCTTCTGGCAGGCTATTGTAAGGCAGGTTTTTACCAACTCGACTATATTGTTTACAGATCCTTCCCTCCCGAAATTAAATTTCGGACTCTCTGAGAGGCTCCAACGCAAGTTGTTGTCTCAGCAAGGATTAGTATAGTACCACCCTGGCACTTCTCCCTGCCTATAATTTTCAGCTTGCTCTTTGCACTCTGCAAGGCAGAGCGCTGCCACTACTGCAGGCGTAACTTTGCACTTCTATTTGTGAGCAGCAGCAATAACCCCCAGAGCAGATCTGGGGTTTGATGCAGTGTCCGAGTCTGAATTTTTGCAGATATCTTTGAAATTCTCAGGGTGTTTTTTTTGTTTTTTTGTTTTTTTTTTTTTAATACAGAAAAGCACACCAGAATCTGGAATCAGTTACTTCAAAGGAGATTATTATTATTATTGCTGTTGCTACTATTATTATAGGGACTCCAGGGCTGGTGAATAAAAATTTGTACTAACACAAATAATAGATGATATTAATTATGAAACTTCATCAGCGTGTCACAGCCATACTTTATCACAAATAATTTGATGTCCTCAATATTTTCACCGCTGTGATGAAAATTACTGCCGAAATATAAAGGACTAGAAGAAACGCTTAGGAATTATATTCTCTAGTCAACTTCTATTCATCTTCACACTTTTATCAAGTCAGAGCAGCAAACACTGCCCCGCTAGCGAGAGGTTTGCAGGAGTTGTGCTTTATTGGTTAGGATGGGAGGCTGGAGGAGTGCTCAGTTCCCAAGCGTTCGCCAAAACTTGTTGAAACTGGACATAAAAAAAAGTATCGCTGCATTTAATATTTCAAATGGTTACCAGATGACAAAAAACGAAGGCAAAACAGTTGTGGATTTCAGAGTAAATATTGGCTAAAACTCTGGTTCGACCTTGCACGCCTTTCTCATCTACGCAGTGCCACTGGTGGAGCAGGAGGGTGAGGATGCCCCATTGCCAGAGCTGGACCGGGACTGCGGTGCGGGGTACCAGTCCTCCAACGCCCTCCCTCCCGGGTCCCACGCTGGGTCTGGGGGTGCGAGGGGCTGCAGCCCACGTAGGAGGGACCCGGCCCCCCTTCCCCAAATGCTCACTGCTACACCCGCCCAAAGGTGCGCCGGCGGAGCGGGACTGGCGGCAGCCACCGCCCCCGCGGGTGCCCGGTGATCCCGGAGGGGGGTTGACGGCGTTGCCCCGGGATGTGGGAGTCAGGCTGACCGTGCGGCAGCGGGGACGGCGTATGCCTCACAGCCGGTGGCTTGTCACCCGACCTGTGCTTTCCGTGACCGCGCAGGGCGAAAGGGAGCCCTCGCCGGGAAGGTCTCGGTGCAGAAATAAAGTTCCTCGGCTCCGGGTGGAGCGAACCCCGAGCCCAGCCCAGCAAAGGGGCTCCCCGCCCGGCCGGGCCCCCCGGGGTGGAGGACCGTGCATGACAAAGGAACAGCAGGGTAGGGAACCGGGGGGGTTCTCGGCGTGGAGCCCACGCCCGTGCCTTCCAGGTCCAGCGCTGTGCCGGTTCCCGGGGCTGGCATATGGAGCCGGGCTCGGGTCAGAGGTCACCCTCGAGGGCAGCACCCTCGGAGGAGATCTGGGAGCAGCTCACCT